ACAACGTCAGGGAATCCAATTCACAGCCAGGCAGACGGACTAATGCTGGGTAAACGAGGGGAAACACACGCATAAGTAAATACATGTAAAGTGAAGTGGGTAATTTGTGTTTGAATCACTTTGCCTATATGGATTATGGTGCATTATGGGGCATTAAAGCATCACTTCTCACCCGTTAACACTCACATGCTGTGAGGTGATGACAGGCAGAAGTGCAGTATAACGCTTAAATTATTCATACATGATAATCACTTGCAAAACACATAACTGAATCAGACCATGTTTTCACACACTAGCTCACAATACTTTTAAAAATAGAATCACATCTTTAAGCCCCCATTGCACTTGCTTATTAACACAAACACGTGTACAGGATGTATAGATATAGGATAGCTCTGACGTTTTTCCCTCCTACACTTTCGCGTATCACTTACATTTATAAACAGTACTGTGTGTGGAGTATAAAGACACGGAGAGGGCTGGTAAGATTGATAGCCAGGAGAAAAGGAAGAGAATAAGAAAAGTGAGAAGGTGAACAGAGAGAGGTAACGACTGGCTTCAATTCTTATGCAAATAGTAAACAGAGCAGATATGAATATAAATAACTATAGATGTTAATTAAGTGTAGTGGACGAAAAACTAAAATGTCCTCTCTGAAATGTTGAGATGCTTAAACTACTAGAACATTGTTGTTTGGTTACATATTAGACACATTACAATGATTTTGAGCACTACAGGAGATGAATGAGATGAACCGCTGTTATCAAAGCTCTCCATCCACACCTATGCTTTCTACAGCTCCACATGAACATCACACCATAAAACGGCAACCACCATTACAAAACACCTGCCTACGAACTTGAAATCTTAAGAGACCAAGTTTTCTAAATGAGATGGAAATTAAATGAATGGAAAAGCGAAGACATCGTTTCATTATTAACAAATGTGTTTCTTTGCTAATTTGCTGAATTAAAATTCAACTTTGAGCAAATACATGTTCTACTGAACACAAACACGGCCATTAGAGATATCAGGTTAATTACCAATATTACATTTGATAAGTTTTCCCTGTTGCTTACCTGGATAATTAGACTTTATATTTGCCTGAGACAATAAATAGTTTTCACTTTTTAGACATGTTACCGTGGAGAAATGCTCAAGCTAAATGTGAGCCTTATAGAACTATTATTGTTTATCCACTTGTGTGGTACGATGAACAATGTCTCCCTCATTAAACTGTAATTATTCGTTCATGCAGGCAAACTTAATTATAAGTCTTCATAAATCTTATCAATGTAATCCCACTGTTTAATTGCCTGTGAGTGTATTTATCTTATGACACATTAACATACATTTGTTTGATTTTAATTGCTGGCAGTCAATGAGACAGATGGATCTCATTGACTAAAGGAGGTGAAACTGATGTGCTTCAATGTCATTGTGTGGTTTACAGAATGAAAATAGCCTAAAGCTATCATTTGATATCTTCGAAGGCAATTACATTTCCTCATGTGTGGTCTTTCTTGTTGAAACGGGTTGAAGGGAAAGGGAGAGATCATTTAACCCTAACCTACTGGGACTCAGGTCAGCATTACAGTGAACTGCACCAAACTAATAGCTTGTTTTTTGCCCTCATTAATTGTTAAATAGGTGTATACAGTATACTGTATATTACGCTGTGGAAAAATGGCCAACCAAGTGAAAGTCATTTTTCATTTCATGTAACTTCAAGGCTCAGGGGAGGCGGTGTGTTTGGAAAGTTTTTACTTTGTACTATTATTGTACTGCTTTTTTTTCCAAACTGCACAAAAAACTTCAAATGATGCCTTCTGTGTTTGAATAATACAAACAAATACCATCCCAAACGGACCCAGGAAATCACCGCACATCACCACTGCCTGCTTTTAAGAGTTGGGATTTTACATTTATGTGTAAAACTGAATGTGAAGATGAAGGAGGGCATAAATAAAAGGTTTAAATTAAAGCCAAAGTTAAAAGCCGTGATGGACTGGGGGGATTGCTCACATTGACTGTGTGTCTGTTCTACTCTCTCCTGTCCTCAGGCCATGGCAGGCTGAACGCAGAGCAGCTCGGCCCCCGCCGCCCCCCCCCTCCCCAGGGACAGGTGGGATTTGTCCTCCAGCGGCCTGTCCTGCCTACCTATAAACTCTCACACTGGCTATGGGTCTCTCCCTCTTCAGATTTTGATTTACAAATACAGTTTATTTTTAAAAAGTGCCTTTCTTGGGCACATTGTAAAAGTAACAGTTTTTAGTGTAATGTTGCCCATTTCAAAAAGAAAAAAATCATGAACATGTATATCCATGGGCGTAGGAAGCATCCTCAATGTGGGTGGGACAATTTGACAGGGGGTATGTGCAGGTGGGGGACCTCACCTCCTCTAGGGGGGTCCGGGGGCATGCTTAAATGTTGAAGTTAAAAGCATTAATCTGCTGCACTTTGAGAGCAAAGTTAGGGACTAAATCTATGGATACATCTCTCAACAACACCATATGAAACAGAACTGTAAACAGATTTACTTTTTCTTTATGCATATTTTACAAATCATTCCCCTTTTAAACTGTATTTTTGTGTTACTGTCCTATAGTATGAGTTGGAAACTGTGTCGCGCATAATTTTACAACTAAAGACACAGCTACACAAAAGACGCAGCATGTTTACGGCTCATGTGTACAGCTCTGAGAATCTGCCTTGGTACAAAGTAGCAGTGAAAACATGGTACGGAATTTCATTGATTTGGGCATTCTCACAATAAGCAAGTGGAATGGATTTGATAATGAAGCACTGACACAGCGCTCTACAGAGAGAGGCGAGTGGATAGACCGATGCACGGACTTTCCGCATAGTAAAAGTGGGGGGGTCTACACTAATCATTTTAAAAGGTGGGGGGGACTTGTCCCACCCTCATATAATGGCTGCGACGCCCATGTGTATATCGCACAAACTGTCAAGTCCTTTGGGTTTTTGGGCTTTCTCACAAAGAGAACTGGATACAGTGTCGGAAGTGAGACCCCGTTCATTCCTTTGAAAGTTGCTCGGTGGCACATGAAGCCAAAATGGCCTGCCTCTCGTTACCAAAGTACCCGTAGAACTTGGGTATTTGCGTTTTGCTTTAGCTCGGCCTCGAAAAACTTCACACCTGATCTTGGATCAGTCAAATGAATAGAGAGAGAAAACGACACTGGATTCGGCTTTTAGCGCATATCACAACTTTTAGATCCTTATGATTAAATTGTATTTTTCTAATTATCAGCTGATTTACCAAAGTGACTTTCCCATTATAAGTCAATGAGAAAACGTTTTTTTGGGCCTCATGACGTCACAGACCAACACAAAAGTACCGCCGTTTGGCCACCACAAAAATGTGTACTATTCACTTCCTGAATTTGCTATATGGTTTTCACTTTCTTTGGTTCACGTTCTTTTTTTAATTCAGTAGGTCAACCTATATGTTCATAGAACAATATGTGTGAGCTTAACTGTATGTATTAAACTAAAACAGAGCATTTTCTGTCAGCTCAGATTTTATAGTTGCATTTTTAAACTGTAGTATGTGCTCATGTGTTATGCATAATGAAAATCCGGTATTCTTATGAATACAATTAATGAGCAGAGGACACATTTTCCAAACTCAATATCTTGGTTTCTTCTTTTCTAAGGTTACATTGTTCTGTTGTGTTAACTAATACAGTTAAGTAAAAAAACGTCTCATTGTTATTTATTTTCTCTAATATTTACTTATTTAGTTATTTGATATTAAGGTAATCCAGAAGTAATGGAAATGTTCCTCTTCTTAAGAAGATATATCTAGCAGTCACTATTTGAAGTAATTTAACATTGTTACAGTCTAAGAAACTTTAAAACACCTCTTAAAGACCTGAATTCTAATATGTTTTCCTCACCTCGACTTCACCTTAACATACTCTGTAGGGAAACTGCAAGGGGCTCCAATGTGTCCTCCTTTACACAGCAGTGTTTGCAGAACTTCAATTCAATGTCCTGGTTTATCTTCATTAGATTACGTCTTACAACCTGGGTATGTTTCACATTCAATAGATGCTGATATGACAGTATGGACTGCAGTTTTTTCAATCATGACAGTGAAGTTTGTTCGTGTCAAATCCAGCCGAATCAAAGAGAGAAGACTCGATTCTTGAATCCCAGTTTTAACAAACTTTCACACAGGGAGAAATCAATCAAAGAAAAAAGCAGAGCTGCCATCTTCCACCCACAGCGGTGGAAAGAACATTAAAATGCAACACAGCTACAAAACACAATGTTATTTGGCAGCGAGCACAGAATGACACTCACACACTTTTTTATGCTAGTTAGCTACATTTTTATGCCTGTAAACATTTTCAGACATTTTTAGGGCATTGTGGTAAATAGGAATGTGCGTAAAATTAAAATGTGATGACAACTTTATCCCAAAATAACTGCTGAGATGTACCAAGTATCCCAGATTTAGCACTGTGTGTTGTTGTGTTATTTATCTTCTGCTGAAGTATGAACCATCGAGAACTTTCAGGTCAAGTCTCAGAGTCAAAAACTGCTGGGTCCATATCTTGGTAGGTTTGTTCTGTCTGGGTTTAGCAGGAAGTTGAACCCAGGTGCAGTTAAAAATGAGGTTGCTGATAGTCTATTGCACTTAACCTGTTCATCTTCTTGCTATGTAATATGTATGTTTTGTTTATTGTTACTGTTTTTTAAAATATTTTATTAACATGTCCTATACTCTATGTCGCATGTTTTTACTGATTGTATTTGCTTGTTGTTTTAAATGAAATGTGTCTTGAGGGTGAAAAATAGACTCTTGGCTAAATGTCTATGTATGTGAACTGTCCCTGTTGAATAAATAAAAGATGGTTGTGCTGTGAAAGGGTGAAAAGATAAAAAGGAACCAGGTCTGTCCCAGCTGGTGTTTCCAGAGACACACATATTACTGACCCGCACACCCAGCACCCTTTGCAGCTACGTACCTTGGCGACACTCGGGGCAGCATCGGCCCTCCTGGGTGATGACCAGGGTCCCTGGCGGGCATGTGGGGCAGGATTGCAGATAACAAATCACCTGAGCATCCCGACACTCACAATCCCTGCAACCGCTATCGCTCCAACGAGCCAGGTCCTGAAAAGAAAAAAGGTGTAGAAGGTGTAGAGCTTGTTTTTCTAGTAGGATGCCCAATCACAAACCTTTTATCCAGGGATCCAATCTGAGGGAAGAAATGTGCAGCATTCACAGTCTGTTATTTCTCCTGTGCAACCATTTTCCTGTGGTCATTTTACAGGACCTAACACAGTCGCATCAATCTCTACCTTATTACCAGTAGGGGAGACTGAAATACTTTATAGAATGGATCTTCACATGAGTGTACGTTGATGGAAGTAGTAAGAATATCTACAACGCAATCATCTATCAAACTTTTTCCTTTTTCCTTTTATCCCTTATGCTCAAGAAACATGTGGCCCAACATGCTTCCAAACAACGTTTTGCAGGGACATTTCATTTCCTGAAGTGTGTTGTATAGATTTTGGTTCATGTAAATGGTCTGCAAAGGCCTTCAGAGGGAGTTTCTCTCCCACACAGTCCTCCCCCCGAAAAGCCTCTATTGGACTCCTTTGTTTACTTCTGTAACATGGTGACATCACTATGTAACACTCGCGCTTCCATTGGCTAGCGCTCCAACACATTCTCTTCAATTACATTAAGCCAAATAAAGTGTGTTCCCATTTTCAGACAGTCAAGTCTTGAGATAGACAAGTGAAGACTGAATTGTTCTCTTTATTGGCTGCTTTAAATAGCTTGTTACCAGCACAGTAGTGCTAAGAAATAACCTTAAAAGATAAGTGAAAGGTAAAAACGGTTATTTATTGCTGCTCATTAACTTTCCCCAATGGGATTTTCTTGTTACTTAGAAGCTAAACCAGGAATTATCTAGTCACAAAATGCCTGCTTTAACCTTTCAAAAACACTGGAGGTGAGAAAATGCATTTATTATTCACATGTGTAGGTGCAAAATAAGTATGCAGTATCCATCCTTGTTTACAACTGGTAAGATAAATTCCTCGGGGAAACAAAGAAAAATCTATAGGAAAAGCTCTCTCTACACTCGCTCTGAGCCTCGGCTTTAGCTGAATGTCCTGCAGCATTTAATGAGCTTTCCTCCATGGCTGAAAATGTCAAAAATTCAATCCTTTGCATTCTGGGTTTCCAATACTAGCCTATAAATAATTAAGTTCATGCTAGAATAATAAGGGTTTCTTATAACAGGCTTGTAGCTGACAACTCTCTCTTAAAATGGACATTAACTTCATGTCACAGCAACTCTTACACCCAGTGTTTGCATTTATATATTTATAACCAGCTTAATATTGATGTGTTTGGTTGTTTGTGTAGCAGCCTCCTCTGCAGTGAGCCTTTATGGCACTTACTTTCTTTTTACTTCTGAGAATGGAGAGTTCACAGAAGCCCTGTGGCGTCTTTGTCTCACCCACACAGCTTGGATTTCTTGCCTGATTTAGCAATTTCCCTCCCTTGCTTATGTACAAACACAGTCATAAGAATATAAAAAGTACCTTGTAGGATTTCCCCTCGTACAAACAGGAGGGTTTGGCAGAGGAACATTCCGGGCAGCACTTCCCAGGCAGGTGGATGAGCTCCGCTCCCTGTGAGAGATAGATATATTTTTTAATTCATATTTAAGGGAAAATCATCATAAAACAGAAAAAAAACAAGTTATGTACAAAAGCAATGTTTCCGTAACATTTGACTGAACTGGTTTTCTTGGTAATGTTCTACCTCTGGTTACCACAGTTGACTTTGTTTTTCCACTGTAGTTATCTGCAGTCATAGTCAGTCCAATTCAATTAAACTGTATTTAATTGTAGTTTAATTGAAAATAATTTTCATTATTTGTACATTTAAATGCTTCAGTTGTCATATATAGTATCACAATCACATTTGGCAAGCGATTGGGAGGAAATCACAAGTATGAATGGGGCAAGGCCTGATTTATTTTGTTGAATTGGTGATAATAAACCCCTTTTATACTTAAACCAAATGATAGCATAAAGGGTTTGTTTTCAGCTTGGTGTGTTGTAAAGGATTACAGAAAAACAGCAGGCCTATGTATTTATGAAAATTGGACTGATGAGTAGGGAAAAGTCAAAAGATAAGATAGTATTGCAAAGCTTAATTTAAGGACCAGCAGTGCAAACATGACCCAAAGAAATCATCAAATCGAAACATGCTAAGTTTTGTCTGTTAGCTTATTTGGCAAGCTGTAGCCCTTGATGCATCATGAATGCAATGATGATAAATAAATAAAAAAAAGTTTATAATTTATGATCTTTTTGTTGTTAGGTGGATGGATATACATATTTACATTTATTAGTGATAAGGATGGAATAAACAAAACTATGTTTCGTTATGATTATGTGGTGATTCAGCTATGTTGGTACTTTATGCTTACATAGCATTGCAAGCAATATCTTGAGTGGAAACCTTGTATGTCTATGATGTTGCAGCAGTGTGAAAATCTGCCCTGATTACCAAAAATGTTCCACATGTATTTTTGATTTTGTTGGCTTTCAAAAGCCTTACGCAATCTGCTCAGCCCATAGACCTTGTAATCCCTTAATAAGAATTAAACGTACAAAATATCTAAATCAGGGCTCTCCAACACGTCGATCGCGGGCAGCTTTTCAGTAGCTTTTCAGTAGCTCGCCGCCCGATTATCGATTATAGCGTAGTAAGGTTGCTTATTGATTTTTTGAACGTTTTTTTATTTTAGAATTTTTTCTGTCACACGAATATCAAATGGTCGGTGACGCAGAGATCAAGGAACAGACGTGACAGCAGCACAGCGACAACACACACGGCACAGTCTGCTTTCTCCACCAACACCAGTCCAGAACCAACAGTAGAATGACCCGCTCTGAATCAGGCCCTGTCGCTGCGGCTCAGAGACACACAGGGAGGGATTTGTGTTTTTTGAAAAACACTCGTTATCGTCATGTCAGGTTTTTGGTGGATTTAATCAAGTCTTGGATTGCAGAGTATGAATGTCCTCTTGCTATTTTCAGTTGATAAATACTTGTGTAAAGTTTGTGAAGGCAGACTCCGTTCTTCCAAACCCCGCCCCCTCCCTGAAAATAATGAGTGACAGGCTGATAGTGACCCGATAGAAACTTTATTATTCACTTAATCACTGATTGAGATATGATGAAGCTAACTTAATCTCATACATTCATGGGATTTATGTAACAGTAAGACAGAGAATGTAAGTGTGCACCCACATGCACTATTTTTGTTTTTATAATGCTATTGTAAATACTCCTGTTGTCTGCTGTGTTCAGACTTAAGTCATGTGTGTGATGCCACATTCAAGACATTCAGTGTCTTTTTTTAACAGAAGACCGTAGCTAGAAGCTGCAGCTAGACTGCAGAAGTATTAGTTTTTTGTTTTTGAGGATGGAACCATTTTCACACACAGATATAGGGAGGCTAGACCTATACAATTAATTTATTATGGTTTATAATTTAATGTTATTCCTGTCCCCAAAAAGACAATCATCACCTGCCCCAACGACTACCGCCCAGTAGCACTCACCTCCACCATAATGAAGTGCTTTGAGCGGTTAGTCAAATTATTCATCACCTCCTCCCTCCCTGAATCTCTGGACCCCCTGCAGTTTGCCTACAGAGCAAACAGGTCCACAGACGACGCCATAGCCCTCACCCTCCACACTGCCCTCTCACACCTGGACCCGAAGAACAGGAACACATACTGTATGTGAGAATGCTGTTCATTGACTACAGTTCAGCATTCAACACCATTGTGCCCTCCAAGCTGGCCATCAAGCTCAGAGACCTCGGGCTCAACAGCGCCCTCTGCGACTGGATCCTGAACTTCCTGACGGGCAGACCCCAGGCAGTGCGGGTGGGAAATATCACATCCTCCACCCTGATTCTCAACACCGGTGCCCCTCAAGGCTGCGTGCTCAGCCCTCTCCTCTACTCCCTGTTCACCCACGACTGCGTGGCCACACACAGCTCCAACACCATCGTGAAGTTTGCTGATGACACGACCGTCATCGGCCAGATCACAGACGATGACGAGACGGCATACAGAGAGGAGGTCGAAAAACCTGACATCTTGGTGCCAGGAGAACAACCTCCATCTCAACATCAGCAAAACAAAGGAGCTGATTGTGGACTACAGGAAGCAGCAGGGAGAGGGACACGCCCCCATCGCCATCAATGGGACTACGGTGGAGAGAGTCAAAAGCTTCAGGTTCCTTGGGGTCCACATCACTGAGGACCTGACATGGTCTCTTCACACCACCACCATCACCAAGAAAGCTCGACAGCGGCTCTTCTTCCTCCGCAGGTTGAGGAGGTTCAAAATGGATTCCAGGATACTCTGCAACTTCTACAGGTGCACGATAGAGAGTATCCTCACTGGCAGCATGACGGCCTGGTACGGCAGCTGCACCGACCTCGATCGTAAGGCTTTACAGAGGGTGGTGAAAACTGCACAGCACATCACCAGGACGGAGCTGCCATCCATGGAGGACCTTTACTCCCAGCGGCTCAGGAAGAAATCACTACGGATTATCAAAGACCCCCATCACCCCAGCCACAAACTGTTCTTTCTGTTGCCGTCTGGCAGACGTTACCGCAGCATCCTGGCAAGGACAAGAAGATTCGGAGACAGTTTCTTCCCGCGGGCAGTGAGACTGTTAAAAATTGAACTGTTGAAACAACATCAAACATTCATCTGCTACTCAGTAGTATGTATCTAATACCTAATATATATATATCATTCCAATAACTTGTATATAGACTCATACTGCACTATTCCACATCATAACTTTATTTCATTTTTATAACTATTATTATTTTTGTATTGCTCTTGCTCTTATTGTTATTATGTTATGTTATTATGTTGCATTGTTGGAGAAGCCTGTGACATAAGATTTTCAACTGCATAATTACTCTGTAGCTATGTCAGATTGACAATAAAGAACCTTGAACCTTGAACCTTGAAGAAGAAGAAGAAAAAGATGGCTGAACAACTGTTCAGTGTCAATCCTGTGGAGATCTCCAAAATAATGTTCAGCTTAAGTCTCAGCAAAAACTCAGAACATTTCTGGAGCCTTGTAGACCCAGAAAACTATAAGAACATTCACCAAGCAGCACTGAAAATGTCTGCTTTATTTGGTTCTGTTCTACATACCTTTGTGAAGCAGCTTTTTCTGACATGAATGCAATCTAAATACAGAACAAGACCGACTGATGAACATTTAAATGACTCTATTAGAGTGAACCTAAGTGGGTCCAGCATACACCTCTATGGTGGACTGCATGCAGTGCCATTCATCTCACTAACAAAAGAGTGAAATGCTTGTAAGGTGGTGATTAAGGACACTTATGTGAATGTTCAGTGATGTACTTATTATGTGGGCCATAATAATATGTGAGAAATCTTCGTTTTCTTGGACCTTATTTTTGATAAGCTTTAGGTATTGCAATTTCACACGTGTACAAAAGTATAGCTTAATTCAACTGATGAGGGCTATGTGAATAAATGTAAGCGATGTGATGCAAGTAGCTCTTGGCCACTTTCATTTTTTGAAAGTAGCTCTCAGATGAAGAAAGGTTGGAGACCCCTGATCTAAATGGTGGTTATAAGCTCCACATATTACAATGGCAATATGCCACTGAAGCAATTTTGAAATGCTAAGACCTCCCTATGGGACCATTACGGTGCACAGGTGGCACCATAAGGAATCATAACCCCCCCTCCTTTCCTATTATTACTGTGCCACAGTGCCATTCTCTGCATGCCTATTGACCCAAACATGTCATTAAACCCATAACTTCCTCCACACAGAGAGAAAAACTGCATGGCTCTGATCTTCTTAGCTGAGTGACCTTGCATAATTCAGAGCTGGACAAATGCCAATTAGGTTACTTACGGTTAATGAGACTTACCAGCTGTAATTATCACTGTAAAATATGATAAATTAGTTTTTTTTGGCAGCGGCAGGGAATATTAGCGAAGTAATATTACATTTGCTTGACATCAGAAAAAAATGAAAAAGGAGTAAAGTTGACACAGCGCTGAGCTTAAAGTGGGTCATTTGTGGGATAAAAGAAACTATGGGAACTCTGGCTAGATATCTTAACAAATGTGCTGTTTTCATTGTCCCAAAAAACTCCCACGTAAAATGTCCTACATTCCTGTGCCAAGTCTTGAGGCATGTCTTTACATTTAGGCGACTTATGTGGTGTTCATTTTAGGCTAATTTCGCGTGGGGATAGTATGGATTAAAATAAAACATAGGCTCCAGCTGAATAGAGTGATCCAATCTCACAACTGGGCATATTTGTTTTGTTTCTCTTTAAAGTATTTAGCTGGTTAGAAAACCAGCACTGTAAAAAGATAACTTATAAGCTTTTTTTATATTTGATCATCAATGCATTCATGATGCAGGTAACATGCTAACTAAGATAGCTCGCTTAGGGCTACAGATAAGCTAACAAGCTAACGGACAAAATGTAGCATGTTTAAAATTACTTTTTTGTTCATTTTTGGACTGCAACTTCTTGAATTAGGCTTTGTAATAGTATCTTACCTTTGGGCGTTTTCACTAGTCATCAGTCTAAGTAGACATTTAGTTTTTAAAGCCCATAATCATACATTAGCTTTAAACAGCTTTACAATATGTAGCTATAGCATACATCACCCCATGCCTCTCCCCAAAACAGCCTTTCAAGTCAGGTAATTAAGTGAAGTTACATTTGTTCTTCTTATTATAGTGCTGAACTTTAAGTGCAAGTTTACTTACCCCCGTAATATTTTTGCTGCTGTGTCCAGCTACCACACAGATATTTTGAGTCTCACTCTTCCTTTTAAATTACTCCACCTGACCTGAGTGAATAACTCATGGTGAATGCAGACAACCATGTAGCCTTAAATGATCACCTGACCCTTAAATCACACCCAATCTCCTAACTACAAATTAAGATAGTTATATCAGACCTTGTGAACTGGTACATTTCACAGCAGCAAATTACACAGACTCTATGAAACTGTGAATTAAGTAACTATGACATCTTCCATTAACTTATAGGGGCTAATTTGAAGGCGAGGAAATGGGATTTCTTGCTGCTGACATTTTGAATTTTGGGGTCAAGAGAAGAACATTTAAAGCAGGTGGAGTCTACAGGAAAGTAACCTTGGATCTATAGATGATGTCTCACACTAATACATAATAAAAAGAAACCATTAAGTACGGCAAGTGTTATTGTCTATGTATTCTTACATGCCTTTTTTAATGCTAATTTACACTGAATGTATGGTATTGCAGCCAAAACATACCTACTATTGCTATGTTGGTAAAAGTAACTGGAAAAAATGTGATCTCCACTCTTTTGAATGCCACTCTTAATATTAGGCATTGCAATAATATCTTACCTTTTGACTTTTTCACTTGTCATCAGTCTAAGCAGGTACTAAGTACATTTAAGATGTACATGTATGAAGCCTGATCTCGTAAATCATACATTTGTCCCAAAGGGTCTTTAAAACTCTACAGTTAAGACTTATCTGAAACCAATACTCTGTGCAGGAGTTTTTTGTTTTACCTTAACAAATGATCATGATGGCTAATTGTCACACCAGCAATTATTACTTTCTCTGTTTTTAGTATTTGCAGACAGTAGACCAATGCTATTCTTGCAACAAGGTATCCTACAAGTAATGTATTGCCGAATGGAAAAAGATACTGTGACCAAAGTGTAGTCAGGTTCAATTTCTAAGCTCTGTGGCTCTGCTTAATAACATTTGATCAAACATTTTCCAGCCCTTTGAGGACATGTATACCCCCAGAGGAAATGTTTGTGACAAGAAAATAAACGAGTACAGTTTCCTATAATGAGCCCAGATTTGCTCTAAAGAAGACCTTTTTTCTGTCAGGCTCACCTGCGGACATTCAACACGAGCACACTCGGCCCTCTGGCAGAGGACCTGGCCCCGGTTGCAGTTACAGAATTCGCAGCCCGTGCCATTCCACATGTCTCCATGGTAACGCACCGCCCCCTCGTACAGGCAGCTTCCCTTGGCGGCGGCGCATTCATCACAGCACTGACCAGTGCGCTTCACTTTGGTCTGACCCTGCAAGAAAGCAGTTAATGTTTGAGTTCGGTTGTGAAAGAGAAAAGACAAAATCCAAGGCGCTAGAAAGAAATGCTGTTTTTGTTTGTGTGTTGCAGCAGAGAGAGATAAGACTATGAGGCGTGCGTTAAAGAGTGTGTGTTGCATTATTAAAGGGAAAGACACCAAGCAGTTCAGGAGCAAACATTTCTGACAACTTTATTCAAAAGTGCTGAGAGGTGTAGATTTAGGCTACTGACACTGCAGAAGTCACTTTACCAAAGCCTAGAATTTAAAATGCCCTTTATCTCACACCAACAGTTAGTGTTACTCTTAAAAATCGTATTCCTCCCCCAAAAGACTTGTGGCAATGTGTTAAAAGTCACATTTACTAACAGAGCAGAGCAGGTAGTTATTAACTATTTTTGTACTTGTTTTGAGGCTTCGAATCCAGCGGGATCCTGTCTCTGCGGTGCTTTATTCTGTTTTATTTACTGCTATCATCAGTGGACCGAATGGGCTGTGAGCTGAGAATATTTATACTTAAAGTTTTAGGTTAGGTTTAAAAAAACAACAAATTAAAACCCTTAAAGAGCAAAATTCCTCAAAGGTGTTTCCACTTACTTCACAGTAACAGCAGGAAGCCTGATAAGCACTACCCCGAAGCAGGTGTTCCCCCTTCAAAGGTTTTATAAGACCATAAAAGTCCTACCTCTTTACTTTTGACTAGTTTGTGATTTTCAGTATTTTACAGAACAGGAACAGTTAGCCCGTTTTTACAAAAAAAGATTTCAGATTAATATCCTACACTTGACTCATGGTCATTTATTTTGTAATAATGCGTAGTCTTTATTGTACAGTGTCACTAATGACTTCTACTGTTTTATTGTTTTTATGGTGCTTTCCTGCTAAAGACTTGACTTCTTCTTCTGCAGTAACAACAATCTGACAAAAAGGCTACAACTCTCATAAACATCACAAAATGTATCTACAAATACGTTCTGTGTTTATCTAAGGTTTATGTTCTCCCTCTGTGCTATTGAGCTCCATTGTTCTTCAACAAAAATGTTTATTAAAAGAACCAGTGAGCCGCACTAAATGTTCCTTTATTACCTTGAACACACCCTAAGTTTATTTTAATCACATGCTCCATATTTCTGCTACATATCATCAATAGAGCACCAAATGTGGATTTATGCGCCCCTGAATATAGTGCCATAAAAAACTCTAAAGCAGGGGTCCCCAACCTTTTTAAGGATTATTATTATATTATTATATGCTTACCTTTAACCTTTGTGTGCTGTTTGGGTCTGTGGGACCCGTTTCAGTGTTTACTAAAAGAAAATGTATTCAATTTAATTATTTTAACCTGCTTTATTTGGGGGTGGACCTCACATCCTCTAGGGGAGTCCGGGGGGCATGCAGCCCCGGGAAGATTTTTGTTTTAATGTTGAAGTGAAATGCATCAATCTGGTGCACTTTGAGCACAACATGCATTTATGGATACAGCTCTCAACACTCAGATGAAAGGGAGCTGTATACTTTTCAATAATCCAAACATCTTTAGAATATGATCACAACCAATAACAAATCATTTAAACTTGTTTATTCTTATCTTATGTTACCTAGTTAGCATTCTTTCTTTTCATTTGTGCATATTTTACTAATCACTCCCCTTTCAAACAGTTTTTTACTGTCCTATAGTACACATTGGAATGATGTATTACTTTATTTTTTACAACATATTAAATAGATAAAGGTGTGCTCTCTCTAGCTCTCGCTCTCTCTCTCTCCCTCTGTCTCACTCGCTCACAGAGGCTGTGTGCTCCTCCGTGGCGATGACGGCTTGCATTAAAAAAAAAAAACATAACATATTTGGAAAGTGGGGGGACACAAACGGGATTTCGAAAAGTGGGGGGGGACATGTCCCCCCTGTCCCCAGTGGAAATGAGGCCATGCGGTGCCGCTCCACATTGCTTTTCTTCCCGACTGCAACGCTGGTCCCGCAAATCAAGCAAAAACGTGATTGGTCGATATTCATTGTGGGGGTGGGGGGAGGAGGGGTGTTAGATAGATATAGAGTTGTAGTAAGATAGAGTTCGCTATGATTGAGGTTTCGTTTATGCATAGGGTAGATTCTTTTAATTACATTTCCTTTTTTGTTTTGAGTATTTTTTACATTTTGGATTTGCTTGGCGAGCTATTTTTAGAACATGCCCCGCGGGCACCATGTTGGCTACCCCTGCTCTCAAGTAATGTGTTATACAAGCTACAGTGTCCATCTGTTTTAGGAAATTATTATTTATTTGTGGGCTGTTCTAAACAACAACACTTGTTTATCTATTAGATTCAGCAAGGAAGACTTTTGCAATTGTTCTGTCAATACAAGGCCATTAAAGAGGCCCTAATGCGCTTTTTGGAGTTTCCTCTTTCCTGTAGTTTGTTATATAGGTTTTTGTGCATGTAAATGGTCTGCAAAGGCTAAAATCCCAAAGTTCCCTCCAAATGGAGTTTCTCTCACACACACTCCCCCCCCCAACCTGAAACGCCTCCATTGGACTTCTTTGTTTACTTCCGTAACAAAGTGACATCACTATGTGACACTATACTAGCGCTTCTATTGGCTAGTACACATAATATGGGATATGCTAAGCAGCGGGGCATTTCCGTCACATATCCAAGCAGTTGACAAATCACAACAGAGCTAGCCATTTAACCAATCAGAGCAGACTGGTCTCTGGTTTCAGACAGAGGGTGAAAAGAGGTGCTGCAGCACAGGCAGTATGAGGAAAAATAAAGAGCTTTTTGAACGTTAAAGCATGTAAACAAGTCACAGTAGAGGCACAAACGACAAATATTAAACCTGAAAATGAAAATATGTCCACTTTCAAACTGCAGCGCATACAGAATGAGACTTCTGGCTAAACTTCACCTCTTTCCAAGGTACAGGTAGAAAGAAAAAAGTCTGAATATGTAGGTCAAAAATCCATCTACATTTGCAGTACAAAACAAAACTACTGTTTGTTTGTCTTGTGGCCTGCATCAGTATAGCTCTAATGACATCAAGTAAATGCTCCCAGTTTGGAAATCTTTCAGCTAGATAATATATTAATTAGTGGCTTGAGGGCGCAGATACATTTTTGTTTCGCTTCAAGAATATAAACTGAGTTTGGCCCTTAGAACTTAAATCAACCCTAGTCAGAACCAAACACAGTGAAGCTGCATAAGGCTTCTGTGATAATATCAAAAAAAGTGTTGTCAATTTAAAACCAAAATGTCCTACACTTCTACTACACCCTACTACTTAAATTTGAGTGGACGTCCATCTGCCTCCACAGGTTGGGTTTGAAAGTCAAAAGAGAAAGAGGAAGCAGGAAGGTTAAAGTAATAGTGGTAATAATATAAACATATATTTGACAGATGTATTGGCATTATTATGTACTTTGTCTGTGCATGGCCCTTTATTTAATGTCTGTGCGTCTGGATTGTGTTTTATAGCACTCTCCGACTTCACTAACAAGAGTTCCAGCACAGAACGGGCGCCGCAAGCTGAAATTTGCATACAATTAACAATTTAATGTCAGGCTCTGTGTGTGTGTGTGTGTGTGTGTGTGTGTGTGTGTGTGTGTGTGTGTGTGTGTGTGTGTGTGTGTGTGTGTGTGTGTGTGTGTGTGTGTGTGTGTGTGTGTGTGTGTGTGTGTGTGTGTGTGTGTGTTTACATGCAGAGAGCAACATCTGTGTGGTCTTGCATTGTTAAACGCCTCTGAATCCATTAGAGTTTCAACACAGAGCCTAATGTATGAGGTGGATTCTGTATAAAACAGAATTCCAATGAGTGTGTGTGTCTGTGTGTTGGTGTGTGTGTTTGAGACTACTCACCTTGGCACAGGAAGCGGGCTGACAGGTGTGTGTGTGGCACTTAGACTGACCCCGGTCACACACACATGTGGTGCAGGCGTTCTTCTGCCACTGCTCGCCATGCTGCCAAGATACACACAGATACAGACACTTAGACCAAGTGATGCACACACACACGAACACACACACAGAGTACAGGTATCGGATGTAGTGTGGATGGCAGACAAACACAAACACACGTTGCTGTCTGGAGTAAATACCAGCTATCAAGTGTCGACATAATTGTCCATAAACTTTTCAGCATGAAGAGCTGAACAGTACGAAAACAGGAGAGGCAGTGAGCGTACAACCTGCTCACACATCTGCACGGACATATTCAAATCAATACAATTACACATTACACTCTACCTGCACTCTAAAAACAAATACACCGGCTCTACTTAAATAAATTGAGGTAACAATTTGCGTTGATCTTTTTAAGTATTTCCAACTTAATCGATTATTAATAATATTATTAAAGTACCCATTTATAATCTGATTAACTCAATTAGTACTACAAACATAATTTGCTTTCACCTTTAAAAACTAAATTAAGTTGAACCAAATTCATTTTAATCGTAAAGATGGAGTGATATTAAGTTGCATTTTGTTTAATTTAAGCTATTTATTATATGTAATCTATTTATTTAAGTCCAAACTACTCAAAATGTCCATGCAAATTGTTACCTTGTTTTTTTCAAAATCATTACATTTGTAAGTTAAATTTTGTTGTTCTTTTTCAGTTTGACTGATGATGTATTTTTTTAACTCTGTGTCTCATGTGTCTCCGCAAAACAATCTTTTAGCCTTTTTTGAAAGGCTATCTTTTTGTATCAGTGGTCAACATGCTGGATTCAGGTTTATTCAGTGATGGAAAAGGACTAAGTACATTTACTTAAGTATAAGTACTTTTTTCGCATATTTCTACTTCATGCAGCGCTACTAGTAAACCCTGCTCATGTTTTGTCAAGTTGGCGAATGTTTTCTAGATGCTGCGCATGTGTTGTCAAGTTGTTTTTTGTATTTACATAGTTTTTTAGTTTTTGATAGTCCCACGTTTTTTGGGCTGTTGTAGTGTGTTTGCATGGGCCACTGTACATGTGAGTATTTTACATGTAGTCATTGACACAGTAATTTAGTTGTCTAAACATCTTTCAATCTACAATTCATGAAATCAATGCTTCCAGGGAGGTGTTTCAGAGATAGCAAAGAACAGTGTAGTTATTTATCAGGACACTAAAGCGGAGTGAAGCAGTCCCACAGCAGCAACTTCCCAAACGTGTTTCAAACCTTAAATAAATAATCTGTTTCAATTTTAGGGTTAACTTTCTGTAGCTGTCGGATTCAATCCTAACATCCTTCCTCATCAGGCTTAAACTGCTTGATTAAATATTGACTGAAGCTCGGAGGATACAAATGAATTCATTATTTTACATGAAAGACATTTCTTGACTAATATAACATCTATTCCAGCCCTAGAGATCAAAAGGCTTTATGGGGCTCTTTGAACATCACTAAACTCTATGCAGTTGAATGTAGTGTGTGTTTGTGATGAACTATAGCACTGATCCTTGTATAAGACTGACATGCTGATCTAAAGAGGTCTGAATCAAACAATTGTTATTGTGAATTAGCTTCACTACAAACACACAGACCATTGAAAACAAGTATTTACATCACGTTCACATTTACATAAATAAATAAAGTGTGTATTTTAAGTACTTGGTTTGACACCAGAGGCAAGTTGACATAATTCATTCTCTTTAGAAAAAGAACAAATTGAGATGCCCCTGACACTTCCTGACACCCCAAAGAAAAAACACACATCTGAAGTCATGAAGACGCGGTGTGTGTGTGTGTGTGTGTGTGTGTGTGTGTGTGTGTGTGTGTGTGTGTGTGTGTGTGTGTGTGTGTGTGTGTGTGTGTGTGTGTGTGTGTGTGTGTGTGTGTGTGTGTGTGTGTGTGTGTGCTTCTCTCATGAAGACATAAACACACATTCAACTGGATGGGACACACGATCAAAGGAGAAACTTGGCAGGGTGGGAGCGTGTGGGAGCGTGTGTGTGTGTGTGTGTGTGTGTGTGTGTGTGTGTGTGTGTGTGTGTGTGTGTGTGTGTGTGTGTGTGTGTGTGTGTGTGTGTGTGTGTGTGTGTGTGTGTGTACCCGGTAAACACAGAAGAAGAAAGCAAGAGCACGCAGATGAAGGGATGCATGATGAGAGGAAGAGAAGAAAGGAGAGGAGGATGGGGAAATGGGGAAGAGGAGAAAGAAGATGAAACAAAAGAAAGACAGAAAAGCAGGAGAGAAGGACGAAGAGGAGATGAGGGAAAAGGAGAGGGGGACTGAGAAGATGATAAATAAAAGATGAGAAGAGAAGAAAGGATAGAAGAAGAAATTGAGAGGAGAGGAAAGGAGAGAAGGAGAAATGAGAGGGGAAAGAGGAGATGAGAAAAGAGAATAAGGGAAAAAAGGGGAAAAGAGGAGAGAAGACAAGATAGTAGGGAAAGGGTAAAAGATGTTAGGAGAAAAGAAGAGAAGAGAAGTTAAGAGGAGAGGAGATGAGAGGACTATGGAGGAGAGGGGAGGAGAAAACAGGACTGCTTTCATCTCAATATCAAAACACACACACACATACATCACATACACACACACACATGCATATGTCAAAGTCACCCTGTCATCACAAAAATATTCTAATAGATTGTGCAGAGGAAAACAAACCAGGGTTTAAAATGTGCCGGGTCACATCAGTACGGATTTACGAGCTGTCATCAGCTGCCACTAACACACATAACATCAAAAACACACACACACACACACACACACACACACACACACACACACACACACACACACACACACACACACACACCACACACACACACACACACACACACACACACACACACACACACACACACACACACACACACACACACACACACACACACACAACCACACACACACACACACACACACACACACACACACACAATGGCTTTTCTGAAGGCTGAGTAACAGAGAGGATTTTCGCACAAAGCTACACAATAGCACACACTGATGCAATGACTCAAAGGTGGTTACCTGGTGCTGTTTACCAGCAGACAGACAGGGATTGGACACACATTGAGGACAGCAGCGGCCTGGCTGGATCACCAGGTTTTCATGCTGAAGGAAGAGAAAAACAGTCAGACAAAAACAGGCCCTACAATAATGAATCCACTTCTAGTTGTATCACATACAGCACTAAGTATAAGCATTGGCATGTCTGTAAGGAAGCCTGGTAAATGCAATCTGACCAAGAGTTACATAAGATAAGTTTCATCATGAGATATGTGTTTGACCCAGCTTAGCACATAGTCTGGAAACAGTCTGCTGGGCTGCTGAGAAATACATATTCCCACCACTCTTACACAATATACCTTAACCTGTGTAGGGAGGAATTAAAACAATCTGTACACTAAAAAGTGATGTACACAGCAGGGACAGTATGGTAGTCAAAATCAATTACATTTTTTTCGGGGACACGCTGATTTTCTTTGTTTATATATTCAACTTTATTAAAATGAATAAAATCCGAGGGCACTGGAATAAAAACAAATCAAGAGGTGGTTTGTATTTTAAAATCATCATTTCGAGCAATCCAGCAACAAAGCCACCTATAGGGGATGCGGTGGAATATCTGAGCTTTCTAGATGGCTTCTGTTCCTGTTCAAAGGATAAATAATGATGTCTTGGAAAACAAGTATTGTCTTTTATTCTGTCTAGGAATTTCAGGGCAAAAAATGGAAAATAAGAAAAAGATTGGGTGTTATATTTCCAGAAACTCACCGGTTTGCAGGCCACTTGCTGACACTCTGCTACCGAACACCGGACCTCCCCGTTGCTGCAGACACATCTGGAGCAGAGGCTCGGCTTCCACTCTTCACCGTCTCTGTATGCAGTGCCTTGCCAGGAGCAAGACTCTGAAACACACACACACACACACACACACACACACACATACACACACACACACACACACACACACACACACACCACACACACACACACACACACACACACACACACCACACACACACACACACACACACACACACACACACACACACACACACACACACACACACACACACACACACACACACACACACACACACACACACACACACACACAGACAGAATGAGTAAACAGTGCAAATGGGTGTCAGGTAATGAGCTGTCTGTTGGAGCATTGTTTGCCCTGAAACGCACTGATTTACAGTGTGGGGGAAAAAAAGACAGCTAATTAGCTGCTAACTGTTTGGATGCATCATAGCAGCTCCGAGATGTCATTAGAGTCAAGTTTTTACCTTTCAGCTCAACACAAGGCTGACTGCATTCCTAAATAGTCTATTAAAAACTGAACTATTTAAGAGGTTAGTAAACTAAAATAATAAGATGAAGATGAAGATGGACTTTTATTAATCCCTCGTGGGGAAATGGTTTCTCTGCATTTGACCCATCCTAGTGCCTTGCTCAGGGACACCTCGGTAGCACTTGGTCTTGCCAGGACTTGAACTGGTGACCTTCCAGTTGCCAAGTCAACTCCCTATCGACTTCGCCACCACCGCCCTAATAAAGAGTCATCACACTTTTAAGATATGAGGAAAAAAACAACATGAAAAACCTAGAACAGTATTTATTTATTTGAGTATGCAGTGGTTGATTTGATGACCATAGTTTAGAAAATCACTAAATGATCATCTGCAATCATTTATTTTGTGTGTGATGAGAAGTCACCATCTTTAACACATTTTCATTACATGTCATACTCATTTTATCTTTATTTCTAGAGGAATCATTTACATTTTCATTGCAGTTGTGTGCAGATGGATGCACCAAACAGTTTGGACTCTATCAAATAAACATGGTTTTATGAAGCAATACGTGTAGGAAATAAAGGAAGATGTTGTCCAGTAATTGCAACAATTGACTTCCACAGACAAAGTGTATTTATTTGTTTAAAGTCAAACACTCTGGAGTGGTTGGATTCAAAGGGTCAAGCCTTGCTAAAAGGAGTAGCATCAGCAAAACCCATTGAAGGGTAGCTGAATGTGAACCGGGAGCAGAGCTCATCTTTATTGAAAGAGGAAGTGGGCTAACCCGAGGCAGAGTGCTGCTCTGTAGGACAGTCTGCTGCCTCACACTCACACTCAGGCTTCCTGTGAGAGTGTGTGAGGGCAGTCCACAGGCCAAGCCATTGAGTGTGTCACTATCTTTATGTATGTGCTTTTTTTGACTCGGTTATTGGGTTTGCAGAGTTGTTTATGCTTGGTACTATATTATGAGATTTGCAAGGCTTTCTTCAACCGACAGCAACAAGTGACAGTAGAACTGCTGCTGTAAATATGTGGTGCTATTCATCCAGTCGTGAAGCACGGAATCATTGACAAATAAGATGGCTGAGAAGAGAAAATCTCTCAGCAACAAAAAATCTTTCAAAAGTGCAATCGAAAGTTCAATCCAATTTCATCTAGTCAGAGAAGTTTTTGTAAAACTTCAAGTTTTTATTACATTTTCAGTATTTGCAGTGCACACATTTTTAAAGAGGCCGTATTGTGTTTTATGGGGTTCTCTTTCCTGTAGTGTGTTATATAGCATGGAGGCTGTGGCTCAGTGGATAGTGTGCTGGACTTCGAAATCAGGGGGTAGCAAGTTCGAGTCCCACTGCAGTCAGCATGTCATTGTGTCCCTGGGCAAGACACTTCACCCAAAATTGTTCCTGTGGGGATTGTCCACAGTATTGAGTATGTAAGTCGCTTTGGATAAAAGCGTCTAACAAATTACATGTAATATAGGTTTTTGTGCATGTGAATGGTCTGCAAAGATTAAAATCCCAAAGTTCCCTCCAGAGAGAGTGTCTCTCCCACACAATACCCCCCTGCCTGAAACTCCAATGGAATCCTTTATTTACTTCCGTAACATAGTGAAATCACTGTGTAACACTCGCAACAGTAGAGGCACGAAATACAAATATGAACCTGAAAATGAGCTGTCTTTAAGCTGTCAGACAGACAAATGCTGTTGGAAGACAACAAATAAGCAAACATGGCTGTTGCGAAGAGGATGTATTTTGTTTAGGGCTGTCAATCGATTAAAATATTTAATCGCGATTAATCGCATGATTGTCCATAGTTAATCGCGATTAATCGCAAATTAATCGCACATTTTTTATCTGTTCTAAATGTACCTTAGAGGGATATTTTTCAAGTTTTTAATACTCTTATCAACATATGAGTGGACACATATGCTTTATATGTTTGTTTATTATCATTTGAACAATGACAAATATTCTCATGAAAATTAAACACAACAACCTGAACATTACAAATATTCGCCTCAATTCAACCTGGAACCTCTTTCATACAATAATACAATACACTGTGTGTGTGTGTGTGTGTGTGTGTGTGTGTGTGTGTGTGTGTGTGTGTGTGTGTGTGTGTGTGTGTGTGTGTGTGTGTGTGTGGAGACACTGTGATGGATCGTTGGAGCTATGTGCCGCTCAAGGCATATATGCTCGAACGTGTGCTGCAATAGCGCGTACTATCCGTGCTGAGTGTGCTGACTTTTCGTACAATGTCCCACTGTCTGGCTACCTGCATAAAGTCAAGTGCTCGGCGCAGTTGTCGGCGAAATGTCATTGAAACAGCTCCTTATATCCGTTAGCGCAGCTAGCTAGCACCAGATGCTAACAACAACAACACGTAAGGTGTGCCTCGCTCGCGCGAGTCGCGCCACACTAACACACTCCCTCCCGGTCCTCCCGATGGCCAGTCCGGGCCTGCCAGTGAGCGTGGAAGTGTGGTCTGCCACAAGCGGGCGGCAGGAGCGGGGCTGTCAGCATCAGCTTGTAGATGGTATTTTAAACTCGATGCGCTCTGAAATTACGGGGCGGCGAGGACAAAAAATACACATGCGTTAATCGCGTTAAAATAATTAGTGGCGTTAATATTTTTTTGCGTTAACGCGTTATTAACAGCCCTAAAAAATACCTATGTATTGGTGTCCTCGGGGATCCCAGAACTCTAAATTCCACCATAGCTGTTTTATAAGACAAACCTATTTAAGTATTGCCATGGGCCCTAATACAAAGTATCACAAAGTATCACAAAGTATCACAGAGTATCACAAAGTATCACAAAGTATGACAAAGTATCACAGAGTATCACAAAGTATCACAAAGTATCACAGAGTATCACAGAGTATCACAGAGTATCGGGGGGTAGGGGCACTGTCAGTCGTTTTCAAGGAGTCAGGCACAGATTTACATTTGGGCTCTGTCTATTATCTTTTTACACAATATGGAAATTGACCAAACTGTTTTATTTCAGAGTGACTGTGGCTCATGAGGTTAAATGTGTCCTCCACCATTAGGTGGATACTTGCTTTTACGCTGTGTAAGTGTGTACGCTGTGTAAGTGTGTACGATTTCGATTGCCTTTGATGAAAAGGTGGCTTCGTATTAATGTGAGTGAATGGATGGATGCTGACTTGGATACGCTTTAAAGGGTTGCAAAGAGTTGAAAAGTGCTATGTGAATGCTATAATACCATTAGCATAATGTTTGTTGGAGAAAAAGTTTAAAGAGGACTTATTATGCTAATTTCCAGGTTCATATTTGTATGTTGTGTCTCTACTGTGACATGTTTACATGCTTTAATGCTCATAAAGGTCTTTCTTTTTCTCATACTGCCTGTACTGCAGCACCCCTTTTCACCCTCTGTCTGAAACCAGAGCCCAGACTGCAGCTCTGTTGTGATTGGTCAACAGCTTAGAGATTTTAGCCTTTGCATACCATTTACATGGACAAAAACCTTTATAACAGACTACAGGTAAGGGAAAACCCCAAAGGGCTCTTTAATCACGCTGATGATGATGTTTCCTGATGACATTCGGTAGTCCTTGTATGTGAAATCAGTTGGGCGGATGATATTCATGAGCAGACCATAAAAAACAGTGGCTGTAAATCTTTATGTGCAAATGAGCCTGACACCACCCTTACCTCCATTGCGGCCACACTTGGGGCAGCATTCTCCAGCTGGGGTGAACGGGCTCTGGTCCGAGGGACAGCTGACAGGTGAGCAGGGGTGAGGGGTGCAGGACACACTACCTCTGGAGCAGACACACGCCGTACAGGGCGAGGGACTCCACTGGCTGTCATGCTGTGGGAAACACACAGAGATACACAGTGTCACACAGAAATACAACTTGAAGGGGGAAAAAGAGCGAAAGGAAGCAGAGACAGTGGGAGGAGGAAAGCTGTTTTTCTCTTTTTGGACAAGACGACTTTGTTAGCCTAAGCCTGAGTGACAGACAAGAGAACTGAGTCACTGAGTCTATGGGAAGAGAGAAGGAGCTTGGAGTAAAAGGGTGAATGTAGATAAGGAGAAACACTGTGAGAGGACACTTCCTTCACTAATGTGTGTAAGAATGCCCTGCAACGATGTGTTTTGACTTTTGCTGCTACATCTCTGTTCATTATTTCAATCATATGTGTATACTACTAGTGCCTCTGGTCAGTGTGTGTTTGTATAAAACCAGGTCTATTCTGTGAATGACAGATGTGAATTGATGGAATATATACTTACACAACCATCCCAGGGGAGTTAATTAGAGTATATTTTTAGAGTACAGTTCATCCATTTAGGATTCCCTTCAATGATTAGATATCAGACGTGAGGATCTGACTTTACTCATTTTCTAAGGCGTCAGACTGTGCAGTACCACATTCTTCCGCCTGCATTAAATAAATCATTAGTATGAATTTTAATGGAGAATTGATTTCAATGCTTTTTCCACACTGGAAAGAAGAGAACAGATGTCGGTGGTAAACAAGCAACATATTTGTTATGCTTTATGGGTGTTTTTATGGTTTTGGCATACAGCCAATATGCTTTTGTCTACATAAATATTGAAATCCATCAAAATATGCTAAATTCACAACTACAGTTCAGGGTAATGATTTGGAGTTTTTATGTTCTCAAACTCTACTTTTAAATACTCTCATACACTCAAACATCAGAAATTGGCTAATGATAGAATAGAAACCCCAAATAGCCTTGCATAAAAACATGCATCAGCTTTTGACATTTTTGAAGAGAAGAGTCTTTTTCCTGCCCTGTGTAACTTTCACTTACTGCATAAATGACTCCTTCGTACTGGCAGGAGCCCTGGGACGAGGAGATGCACTCCGGACAGCACTGGTTGGCAGGGATCCTCAAACGCTCGCCCTTTAGAAAAGACATACACAATAAAAAACATAAAGACGGCAAAAATGACAAATACACACAAATTCAGACAGGAAAATAAACGGATGCAGGTACACTAGCCTGAATAGAAAACGCAATTACAGTCTCTCCATTTCCATGGAAACTAACCACCATGTGACACAAATAGCACAACAGAACAGAGAATAATACAAATGTGAAGATTGGATCGGGCGTACACAGCATGTAGAATACATTGTGAGCGTGTGGAGTCGTTACAATACATATTACAATACCGATTCAACAGACATTTCTTTATCCGCGCTGCCTTACCGCCCCGAATAGAATCCAAATGTGGAAACGAGCAAGCGGGAAATCAGCGGGGGGCCAGGCGCAGAGCGGGTAAATAGTTTAGGTGCCGTTTATTTGTGAATAGAAATGATGTGGAATGGGAAAAGAAGGAGGGGAGGAAACAATTTGTATAAGGTGATAACCCCCAAAGGAGCTTTAGAGAATGTAATGTGTCAGTCTAAAAAACTGAATGAACACCGACGAGACACCAAATCTGCAGCGTGAGACAAATGACATGTGAACACGCAGAAGAATGGCAACTAAATATATAAAAAACAAGAGTGGGAAAAATAATAAAGTGCAGCCTGTAACAGTTTTGACGGACAGAGGGTTTACATTATTCTTTCAGCTCCCTAGATCACCTACATTCAGAAACAATTTGAAGAAAAACAAGACCATCCGCTGTATTTTAACACCGTCTGCAAAACTATCCATCATAAAAGCCATTGTGTGGCGATAAATGAAACAGGAATCATTTTGAAGCTCTTGTGCTCATTTGTAATTTCCTCCACTATTCGTTTAAGTCCCTCTTGCTTTTTTCTGTCTGCTTCCTCTAATTCAATTACCAAAATATGACCGTAGCACATGCATTTGACCCAATTTCAGATTGTACTAAGTAAAGGGGGATAGATGGTTACAGAATCAGGACTAAAGTTTCATTTTCCATGTTTATTTTTTAATTAAATTCAATTTTCTGAATTTGCCTACATTCATTGTATTGCTGCTGGTGCCATTTCATAAAACAATACAATTGAAAGTGTTGTAGAACATAACAGAAGTATTAAGATATGTGTGTGTGAGGTGAGAGCAAAAAACAAAAGCAATGTCAGTTTGTAGATACACAGACAGATGATAAAAACCGTAATACTTTTTTATCCCGGTGTAGGTGAGAGAGAGTCACATTTTAAGAGCTTTTTAAATAGATGGATCACACAGCTTGGCGAGCATGATGACAATTTTTTAATTAACATTGGATTGCTAGCCAGCAGAGTGGAATACATTAGACATTGATTGTTGCCTTAGCTCAGGTTTGGGATTGGATTTGATGGTGTCACCGCAGGCTTTGACGTTTAAATCACATTCAAGAAGCACAGGGAGGAACAGCCGGATAGTTACATTGAAGAAGAGCTTTGAAAATATGTCCCTGTAAATTCAAATGAGCCAGTAAAAAAGCTAGGCAGGAACAGTTTCCAAACAGTTGTCATCGTAGCAAATTAAATGTGCAGACTTCACTGCACAGTAATTTCATTGATTCTTGTTTTAATAAGGGCAGCTCACAAAGACGAATGATCACCAGGCCCTTAAAGAGATCTTCACTTCCAGGTCAAATAGAGAAAGGAAGATTAAAAAGAAGGGAATCCCAATATTCAAGGCCATACCGTTTTTTTATTTAGTGTTTTATTCTGGTGCTGTCCAGTGGTTTATTTAGATTATTTTACATTTTCTAGGAATATCTTTCCCAACTTCTAACAATGGGAGTGGTTCAGCATTTCTAACCGCACAAAATACACAGTGGTAGGCGTATGTTAACTTATTTCCATATGCTTTCACTCTTTTTTGTCCAATTCCAAAAAAAATCAATCAAATCAACCTTTGTACTACTTTTGCACGTGGTAAAACCAACAAAAAAGAATGAATCGAAGCTTAAAAATAAGAGACTTACGCTGAAGCACAGACAGTGCTATAGGATTGTATGTTTTAGCAGGAAACCCACTGTGTCCTGTGCTGACTTTTGCTAGCTTTTTTTAGCCTATTGTGCTAACTTTTTTAGCGTTTTTTAACGTTTTGTTAAAGTGACCATCCGTCCTTTCTTAACTTAAATCCAAACTTTGTTAGTTAGTTAGCTTAGTTGCTAAAATAACAGTTAAGCTAACACTTAAATTTACACTAGCAATAACAGAGTTTTGTATTGCTATTTTGATACATAAATAAAAATAAAAATAATATTATTGCATTTCAACATAGAGGTTGAAGGGTGGAAGTTATTCTTATGAACGTTAATGATGTGATAGATGTTATTGTAGCTAAGGAGACATTAGCCTATCTGACGTTTAGCTAGACCTGTCTAAGCAGACTGCTTAAATCACATATAAAACTACATTTTTACTTTATAGTAATCATTCTATTACTAAATGTCTTTTATATAATTTGAGCTGACAAGACAAAAGTAGGTTTACCTCTTATTTTTCTGTTGAAGAATTTAGGCTCGAATAAACCACCCTTACTGTTAAAAAATGATATCCTGCTTCTTCTACTATAAAAGTCTTACCCTCTGGATATCACACTCTGGGTTTGGACAGTAGGTGGGCCTGCAGATGGCCACGTCGCTGTAGCAGGTACACTCCTGACACGACTGAGGTCTCCATGATGTGTTGTTCTGCGAAGACAAAATAAGAAAACCGACATGAAACATAACCAAGGGCAGGCTTGATTCATCGCCGCAATAATCACTCTCTTATGCTTTATTATCATATCTAATAGGGTGGTCCTTAGTGCCATGTACATTTTTTAATTCATTTATTTTAAGCTCCAACCACCGTAATTCGTTATGATAGTCAAGAAAACTCTCCTGGTGAATTTTATTCAAATTCCAACAACATTTACCCCTCCCTCATCAACCTTGAAGTTTAGCCTCAGTAGGGTGGTCCTTAAAATTGAAAGTCGGAAAGTCTAAGCTCCAACCCCCGGAATTAATTCACCGTGGCTGCCACACCAGCAGCCACAGTGCTGCAACTGAGGCTAAACTTCAAGGTTGATGAGGGAGGGGTAAATGTTGTCAGATTGAGGAAAAAATTCACCAGGAGAGTTTTCTTGACTAATAGAATGAATTCTGGGGGTTGGAGCTTAGACTTTCCGACTTTAAATTTTAAGGACCACCCTAATATCCAAGCACACCTATATGTCATTTTACCACCAACAAAAATGTACACTTAAACTCTTATCACCCTCTTTACCTAAGGCTGTTAAACGCTGATGGAATACAGCTGCAGGTGGAGTGAAACTGCTTCGGTGTTGAGTAAAACCCTTAAGCACCAACTACACAATGAAAAAGGGCAAAACAGGCAGAAAAGCTCAAGATCACTTCGCTGCACCCTTGAGTCTGCATGGTATTTGTCAATAACTCATAACACAGAGCTGACAATGTCTTATGGCTAGCTTTAAGCCAAAACTAAATCAATATTTCATCCTGCATATGCTCAGATATATCATCTTACACGTCATAAATCTGTTTTAGCCGGATGATAAATTACCCACTCATGACAGCAATATCCACGTGCAGCTGTGCCTATGAGTGGACACATCGAAGCAGGGGGTATCTGTTAAATGCAGAGTATTTGCTCCATTTGAGAAGGAAACCAAAGCAGACAACTTTAAGGACTGGAAACTTTGGCGTTGGGCAACAACCGACCGCTAATAGTGCCGTGTAACGATTACCCAAGAGGCTTTAAAAGGGTAAACAAGACACCCGATGTTGTTGGATCTATGTATGTTTCCTGGCTGTGCATCTGGGTGCTAAACTTGCTAAAAATAATTATATAGGGAGGCTGTGGCGCAGGGGACTAGTGCGTTGGTGTTGGGATCAGGGGAGCACAGGTTCAAACCCCACTGCAGTCAGCATGTCGTTGTGTCCCTGGGCAAGACACTTCACCCAAAATTGCTCCTGTGGGGATTGCCCACAGTATTGAGTATGTAAGTCGCTTTGGATAAAAGTGTCTAACATGTAATGATATATATATATATATATATATATATATAAAGCCCCAATAATAATTGCAATTTGGCCAACAATCATCTTTAAAGCCACAATGTAAAGTATGTAAAGCTTTTTGGCAATGACAAAAAGTGATAATATAAAAGACTAAATATTACTGGAATATTAAAGTCACACCACTGGATGCTACTTGTACGAATATTCACAGAAACTTGTGTTTGTGTTTTGGGTCGCGACCCACCAGTTGAGGACCACTGCTCTAGAAGACCTAAGAGCGTGCCATGTATCTACCGAAACCATTTGTAGCCACTCAAGAGGTGTTTCCAAAAAGGTGACCTGTCTTATATTATCCTTTAATGCTGCTGTAAACTTTGAAATATACCAAATCATTCTTTAGAATTTCTCTTAAAAGTGCTAATCTTAATTTCCAAAAGGAACTTGTCCTAGTAATTTAGTTAAGGTACGAGATAAAGTCAAGCAGAAAGAAGGCAGTGAAATGTACAGTAGGAGTAGCTATAGGTCATGTTGAAAGACACCGACAGAAATTAGAACATCAAAGAATGAAAATGCAATTATGAAAAGCAGCCAGCTGTGGGGAAAGCCACTCCTGGAGAGAGGGTCTAAGTTTACAATTTCCCTGTAAGGGGATTTTAGCTCTTTATGTGTTTAAATTGTTTTAAATGCATGTCTGTGGGAGTACATCCCTGCACCGCTGTAGCCTGATGTGTAATGAGTTGTATGCCCCTATGTAAGGGCAAATGTGTCATAGGCAACCTCTTGAAATATTAATGTGTCAGTTCAGGGGAGGATATGCGTCCTTTAGAAATAATGAGAATGTGGGTGTCAACCGGTCGCTGCAGTTTTTTAGGTTCCAAGATTCAGAAGACTCTATCAGTTATTCTTACTGCAAACTTAAGGAAATCCAGGAGGGCTCCTTGAGGAATTCAGGTGAAAAGGAGGGCATTTTTATGTAGCATGAACCAATGCTACAAATCACAACAAGTGAATTAACCGGAACTGCCTTTTAACTCTGAGACCCCGCATAATATGGACACAAGTTGGCCTTTGATCAAACCAAACAACATCTGATGGGGAATGAAGGTCAACAAAGTGCAACAAGTCGCAGGATAATTACATGGTGCATTTAGGTATAAAATCAAACTTAATTTAAAGGTGAATGCAAAAATAATCAAATGCAGGACACAGATCTAGATACTGGTTCAGATTTCTTCACTCTGTCTTTTTGTCATTTCAGTAAAGAAAAGGTACACAGAGGAAGCTAAAACAAGATTCACTGTGCTAGGCACTTACAGTTGCACTATTACAGGAAGGGGAACGGTCTCAGGTAATGTGTTCTGACTGCAGAGCTATCCAGGATAGAGAGGGATCAGGATAGAGAGGGATCAGTTTGTCACAATGAATATACCCTTTCACTCTCTGTTTGCATTTAAAAAATTGCCAGCCCAAGGTTACATGCCCCGGGCCATTTCCGAACTTTAAGTACAAAAGTATCTTCCATATAGTAACCATGAAAGGGCCAGCGTGACATCCACACCATAAACATTTCAGCCTAGATCCACTGAACCAACCAATCTCACTACAAGTCAGCAAAGCTCTCTAAAGTGGTAGCAATCTTTTCTTTATCAGATAGCTTTCTATCAGATTGCCCCTGTGAGGGCAAAGAAGTTCAAAGCAAACTAAATAAATGGAAAATCCTTCTGTCTGGACCAGAACAGTAGAACTGCAGGCTACCCAGCAATTATTTTTTTTGGGAAAAGTGGTTGAGTGTAAAACGTTCAGTTTAGAAATCTCTAAAGTTTAAGCTAAAGAAAAAGCTTTTTAAATACTGGGCATAAAAAGTGTTTTAAATGTACTGCGGATTACAACAAAATCCAAAGCTCCAGCACTCAAATCCTTTTACAACACAGAGGAAATCCTATTTTTTTACAGATTAAAAAACTAATCGCAAAAAAATAATCCTGAAAGTTTGACAGCGAACAGGTGCGCACTGACACCCTGCTTGTGTCTCTAATCCGTTTTATTTTATGTTTGAATTTCCATATTGACTACCATCGTATTTGACCAGTGATCAGAAGGTTTTCAAGAGATTTCAAACTGAAAATACAAATACATTTTGTCTTAAACGCAACTGTTTGATATTTGTGAAAGTGTATGTGCTGAGTACAGTATGTACAAAACAGTATGTACTGTTTGTGTTAGGTTGGTTGGTGTGTTAGACGACATTAATAACTGGTATTTGTTATTTGTAACAGCAGAATGGATTGCTTGGATTTAAACTGGGTTAACAGGTCACCGGGGGTTAAAAATAAATCTATGTGCATACAGCTCTCAGGAATACATTTCTTGTTATGGGCTCTCTAATTACCATTCATGTTGCTAATGCTGTGTCTAACATGACGTACTTCTGAACTTATATTTGCTGTTTTTGGTGCATACTGTAAGTCCGTCCCAGTGCAAAGTGGAAAGTGCAAAGTGGCGATGCACTCAAAAAGTTGCGTATGGATCGCTGGACACTTCCCACACTCAACACCCGCCATCTTGGCTACGTAATTACACAACAATGTGCAACTGCGTTTGCCCCGGTAAACACAGGACTATACAAATATTAAGTTAAACATGTGGGTCATTTACTTAAGTAACTTTCAACAATACTGGTGTCTAAAAGAAGCCACATTTGATTGTTAGGGTTAATTGAGTAGTCTGTAATGATTTGAAACCGTTAACGATCGTTGCTAACTAGCGCAGCTAACAGTGGCTATCATCATCATTTCTGCTGAGGGCATAGTAGCTGTGTACGACACAATGCACACGTCTTCAAAGTGCAGGACATACAGTGTACTAAGGGAAGTATCCAAACTCAGACACAGCATTACAAATAACATTTTGTAAGATTAGCACAGGAGCTAACAGTGCAGGTGACTTGAGCTTTGACTGGACTGAGCGTCACGGCTCAGAGGGCAAGACCATTTCAGCCGAGGTCTCAGGAGGTTGCATCCAATTCCAATTCCAAGTATGGTTTGTCTTCTGAATAGACCTGGAGCAGAATAGGTTTGACCCCAGGTTCACTGTGAACAGGGACCTCTTAAAGTCGCTGGGGCAGGGGACCCAAACATTGAATTGCTAATTCCCGCCCTTCCAAACTGCTCTTCTGACAAGCCCCAGCCCAGGGGAGCTGTATAGTAGCCGACAGCCGCTGGAGCAGTACTGCCAATCCGGCAGGGATTCGTTGATTAAACGTCCAAGGAGTTGAAGGCTTATTTTATTCCCCTCCCCTGGTGAAAGATACAGTATATGCCTCAGATATGATTAAGGACCGAACCAGCTCAGCCAACGCGGCTGCACGTCTCTGCTTTCATAAAGGAAAAAATAGATCCATAACTTTCACAGCGAGTACATTCTAGTAGAAGTTGTAATACAGGCCTGGGATAAATTGTAGTTTTGCACTTAGTATGTATCCAACACAACCTGGATTATGTTGATTGGAAAAGTCATTTTTATAGTATTAGACAATAAACACCCTTTTTCTAGGCTCCTTTTTCCATTTACATGACATGAAAGTGCTGGCTACAATAAAATCCTTTATTAATTGTTGTAGCTCTACTAAAATCGACTACTTTTTTAGGATGTTGTTTATGACTTTCTCT